CTTAATGTTGGTTTAAAATGGAGCACTGTAACAAAAAATAATTTCCCCCAGGGATCAATAAAGTATTCTGATTCTGATTCTGATTATTTTAACGTTTGCCTGCAGGAGGCGGTAATACTGAACTCCACTAAGTCTCAAAAACAGAAGAAGAAGAAGGAACCCGGAAAATATTGCAAGATGGCGGAATCGGAGAACAGCAACAGTGTTAGACAGCCATTAAATGTGGACGCAGAACCTCTTAAATTATCAGAGTTGTTAGATCGTGGTTGGAAAATATTCGAGGAGGTCGACAGCACAAACGAGCCTCTTGGCTCAAACAGTATTCAGGTGAAAGTTAAGCGCGGGGTTCAAATGTTAGAGGAAGCCTCCCGGATGGTCGCTCAGCTCGACTTGTTTAGTCGCAACGAAGAGCTCGAGGAGATCGCCACGGCAGACCTGAAGTACCTGCTGCTGCCCGCTTTGTTAGGCGCTCTGACCATGAAGCAGACCACCCGGGACAAACGGTTGGAAATAGTCCAGACGGCCCGCGCTTACTTTATGGATTTTTTAAGGAGATGTGAAGAGTATAAGGTGTCACCGTTTAAACTGCCAGACTCCACGGGTGAAAAAGCACGGCCTGGGTCAGAAGATGGAAACACTAAAGCTAATGTAAGTACCTAGCTAAGAGCAAGTAAATAGCAAACGAGCTAACCCTCCGGCTGTGTTCATAAACACTACCCACTCAGCTTGGTCGTGGTCAGAACTGGTCAGCAGCAGATGGGTGGGCTTGTTTCTCACTAACATCCGTTCTTGTCATGAGCGTTTCCTGTATCCTCAGTGGGTTTCGTGTAGAATTGAAAGTACACTCTGGGATAAGTAATTGATTATTAAGCGTTTATTAATTTTGTGCTGGGATTCTGTTCATCTGGACGTTTTCAGTGGGAGAAACGTTTCGTCATCATCCAGGTGACGTCTTCAGTCTCAGCTGACTGCAGGTTTCAACCTGACATTTGCATAATGACTGAATCCAGCCCACCGGAGTGGGCTTAGAAAAAAGTCCCGCTCAGTGTATCAGTTAGATCACATCATCCCAATTTCGAAATGCAAAAGCATTTTAATCAAATAATTACAGCCTCGTTTAATTTAAGCACCACTGCAGCTGATTGTATATCAGTGATTAAGTTTCAGTGATTTTTATGCGTCGTTACTTTGTGTGAATCCGGGAACATCCTTCATTGGTAGCTTTCAGAGGACTCCCAGTCCTGTGCCTGATCTCCACAGGACAAAGTGTGCTTCAGTCTATGATTGTGCCAACCAAAGCCAGTTTTCTTCTGAGGAGTTCTCTCCTCTCTGTGTGGAGTTTGCATGTTCTCCCCTGGTTTGTGTGGGTTCTACCCGGGTACTCCAGCTGAACACTGGGTCAGGTGGCTACTTTGAAGAGTCAGAGGTTTAGGATATATTTTGGTCTATAAACTGATTCCATGATTGCTTTTTTAACTCCAGGTTTAATTTCAGAGTGCAATGAGACATCAAACTGCATCATTCTCAATAGAAAACTGCAAAATGTGGTGTTTTCAAACTTTTGACCTGTAGTGTATTTCAAAGTGTAAAGACTGTCTCCAGGTGGAAACCAGACGGACCAGATTGTTCTGTAAATATATTTATATTTTCACACATTTTTGACGTTTACAAGTTCTATTTGCATTTCAAGCCACACTGAACACTATGGTGAGAGAGGAGAAATGTTTCTTTGTTTTTAGTTTGTCTACAAAATTGACATTAAAGAAAAGCTGTTGGAGTGAAATCCTCGAGCTGCTGTTCACTTCATGTTAGCGACCAATGAGTTGTGAAGTAAACAACAATTGAACTGACTGGATCAGCCATAAACTGTGTTGTTGGTCTTTGATCTAAATCACTGGTACATCCCTAATCGCCTGTGCCTTTGTTTCTGAATGAACTAACACAGCACATTGAACACATTTACTTTGAACAAGCTGCAGTGTTCATATAACAACAGGTTCTTTCTGTTAACTGCACTGCTAATGAAGGCTGTAAGTCTGGGTTTATTTATGTCACATAAGTCAGTCACAGAAAAGTGTCCGATGGGAACATGTCACCAAGCTCCACAGATTTAAGTCACACAACCAGAAAGTGATGCTTTCTTTAGTGTGTTTACATGAAAGCTTCTAAATAACAGAGTTCACCTGTGTGTGATTTGGAGGATGTGTCAATAATGAATCGGTGACGTGTGCTTTTTGTTTCAGTCTTTCCCCGGCCCGACCAACCTGGTTGCTATGGCAGCACAGAGACAAGCTAAAATTGAGCGGTACCGTCAGAAGAAGGAGCTTGAGGCCAAACTGTCTGATGTTCGGAGAGCTGTGGAGAGCGGACAAGCTGATGATGAAGTCACCAGAGATTTTTACCTCCTGAATGTCCGAAGATGGGTCGCTGTGTGTTTGGAGGACATAGAGAGCATTGACCAAGAGGTGGAGATACTCAAAAAGATGGATATGTTTAAGGAGAATGCTCCCAAGCAACCCACTCACCCACCCAGGCCCCCCATGAAACCCTTCATCCTCACCAAGGATGCTGTGCAGGTGAGCAGGTTTGTTGTTGTAGGACTGATTAAGGTGCATGCAGTCACAAGGTTGCACGTGCAGCCTGGACTCTCTTAATCAGCCTTTATTGTAATTTGCTAAAGTGGTCTGCTCGTTAGTCATCTGTGAGGATGATGCGTCACACAGCTTCAGTGATGTTCAGGGTCTGGGGAGGCCAGTCCATGTCTCATACTGTTGTAACAGTGTCAGCGTGATACGGTTCTTTTTCCCAGTAATGACCCACACGGATCAAAGCAAAGCTCCAACATGCACAAACATTTGACCTCACAACATGTAATGAATTGGCACAAATGTCTTTGATATGCTGCTTGGTGATGGTGTTCGTGAGAACGCCGTGAGAATCAATAAGTAATATTGATAATGGGATCACTGAATTCTTATCAGTTCCGGACTCCATGTGACTGTAATCCACTGTGACACGTCTCAGTCCATCTGCCCCCTGTTCATGTTTCATTGCTGCACTGACAACATTATTGATGAGCAATAAGAAATAACCAAGAGTTCAGAATGGTCATTTTTCATTGGCCTGTGGAACGTTATGTTAATGCAGTTTTATTAAACATGGTATCAAACTACGATAACAGTTCATCTGTATGTTTTATGTAGCATCTGAAGCTTTGCTGTAAAAGTTTGAATTATGCCTTCTGTTTGGATCAGGCGTGTCAAACTCACGGCGCAGTTATGTCACAGGTCTGTCAGTATGTGGGACTGAATCTTCAGCCCTGCTGAGGATCCATGCAGGCATGGATGCTCTTTATTTTGATGGACACACCATGCAGCCAATTACACGCAGAGACTGGGATCATACCATTAGTGAAAGAAGGAAGGGGGGCATTGTGAAGACAGCAGGTGTAGTGGTGCAGGCTGGGTGGACAGAGAGACGGGGAGATGGATTTAAACGGTGACGGGATCAAGTGAAAATGCAAAATGAGCAGCACCTGGCTGCATTTCAGTGACGCTGCAAAGCTGAGTGCAGAATGTGTAAAATTAGGAGCTGAAACGATCCTGTTTTTATTTTTGAGCCATTTTTTCACTGCGGCGGACAAAAAGGTTTCAAACTAGTCCAGGCCTTAAACCTCACCTGTTCTCCCCAGTGGAAGTCAATCTATAAAGATGAGGCTGAATACAAACTTGTTACAGTTCAGTGTTGAACATTACATCAAACAGAAATGTGTGCATGTACTACACCGACTCAGTGTCGCAATGAGTCTCACAGGTTATTTATCATTCCTGTGGTGCTGATCACCACAAACAAGCAGAACGTTTCAGTGTTTCCTACTGATAAAAACCCTCCTCTATGGCCACTCACACTACACAAAGTCATGACGCATTAGACGATTAAATGACATACAAGTCTGGGTGGTTTTCTATAGAAAGTTATGTTTTTTTACAGCTGCAGTTAAAAAAAACAGAAATCTGGAATCGACCACGAAAAGCATAAAAGTGTTAATATCTGAAGTCGGCTGTGATATGTGGATCCACTGACTCGTCACAGTGTCAGCAGACTGAACCGAAAACATTCAACCAAATACTGGAAATTTAATTTCAGTCTGCTTAAAAATAAGAATTACTGTCATAAGCGTAGCTGCTAGTCCCAGAGCTCAGTGCCTCTGAACACTGACATTTACACTGGAAGCGGATGAAACATTGGTTGGGTTACAATTTTTAACAGAGCTCAACTGAATAGCTGGAAACGCTGATTAGCTGAAGTTTTCAGCAAGTGCTGTACTTGAAATCTGATGAGGGATCAAAAACGTAACAAATGTCACTCTGCTCTTTGTACTTGAACATCACGCCACTCAAAAACATAAAACTGAAGGTACATTTTTGAATGTCTTCATTTAACAAGCTCACATCAGATCAGTTATTGTTTAAAAAATCTGAGTCACTTTGTTCCGATTTGCTTGAACATGGATCGATGTCTTTAAATCCACGTGTTCACTTTGCACACAGGCTAAGGTGTTCGGGGCCGGTTATCCCAGTCTTCCTACCATGACAGTTGATGACTGGTATGAGCAGCACAAGAAACGCGGCGTCCTGCCTGACCAGGGTGTACCCAGGAAGCCCACTGCGGAGGATCACGGGGATCCGAGCGAGACGGACGAAGAAGAAAAAGAGAAGAAGGTTGAAAACGATGACGACGAATCTCTGCTAAAGGCCAGAAACTGGGATGACTGGAAAGACACTCACCGCAGAGGTTATGGGAACCGCCAGAATATGGGCTAGCTCATGTGTTCAACCGGGCTTGTCTCTCACTTCATTTCTATACTAAATGAAGAAAAACACCACCGCATCAATAAATATGTACATTCATTACTTTGGCTGCAGGTTAGTTGGTCTGGAGATGAACACTACTGCTGATTAACTCATGTTACAACCGTTCTGTTGATTGGATCACATTCTCCTATGTACCGTCGTGGTTTCCATTTACAATAAAAATACACAATTTGGCTGGAAGCTTGAAACCATCGTGCTTATCCCTGTTGTTATGTCATGGGGAGTGTGACTCCTCGTTTCCCCGAGGCTTAGGAATGACCTATCAAACAGCTCTGAAAGAGTTCGTGATCTCTGACACTTCCTTGTCTCTGGTCTGCCTGTGACCTGGAAATCTGTCTCCGTGCATCATCTGCTCAGTTCCCACAGCTGCGTACTGGAAGCGTTTTGCTCACACACTGATTTGAAGATGATGGCTGGTCTCTGTTTGATTTTATATATAAAGACAGCAATAACAACCTTGTCCTACAACATCACAACATATTACACTGGTTCAAATCTGTTTAACAAAAGCTATGTCCATGCTTACTGCTCCCACGGGAATGAAAAATAGTAATAATGGTAAATGGCCTGCATTTGTATAGCACTTTACTCAGTCCCTAAGGACCCCAAAGCTCTTCACACTACATTCAGTCATTCACACACTGGTGATGGTAAGCTACATTGTAGCCGCAGCTGCCCTGGGGCGCACTGACTTTATTTATAAAGCACACTTAAAAACCAAGAGTATGCCAAGGTGCTTAATGAGTAACATAGAGAATAGGAGGAGGATAATAGAAATAGGACCAAAGTAAGTACTAGGTATGCAAGCAGGTCACTGATACATAGGAAAGCAGCAGATACAGAACAAACAAGGAATTAAATGAGCATAAAAGTGCAGGATATAAAATCATAAGTGAAGTGTTAACTTGAGGGAAAGGCAAGATTGGATAAGTGGGTTTTTAGTCGTGATTTAAACGGTACTACAGATGCGCGGATATCAAGAGGACCGGGGCAGCCAGAGCAAACGGTCACCCCGAGACTTCGGCCGACATCTGGATTGGTCAGTAAAAAAACAGGTCGCAGCCAGGCGGGGCTGACGACACTCACTGATATCCTCCATGTGCGTTTTTTGCGGTTGGTGTTGATGCAGCGGCAAGGAGAAAAACAGCAGCAGCGGTCTTAATGAAGCGACCGCTGCTGCCCGTTTCTGGGTTATACGAGCATTTTCAAACAATCTGAAGTCCACCGGATGTTCGGATCGTTTTCTCTCTTACATAAATGGCTGTGCACGAATCGCCTGACGCACAGATCACGTGAGTCTCCCAGACAGAGGCGGAGCCAGACATTTGAAACACCCGGGGCTTAGCCCAAAAGGGTAGTC